CCGCGGCGCCCACTGACCTTTGCAGTGATTGGCCACCACGGCTAGGCGCGCGAGGGCCGCCCCAGGGCGCGCGTTGAAAGCCCCGCCGCGCCTGCGGGCGACGCGCCCCTGACCCAGGCCACGGGAGGTTACCAGGAAGGTCAGCAGCATAAGGAGGGAGGAAAAGGGGGGAGGCGCAAGGCACGCGCGGCAGCAGGGGCGGCCTGGCAGGGGCGGGGAGAGAAAAGGAGAGGGGCGGCCGGGGGCGGAGGCAGTCGTGTCGGTGGTGGTGTTCGTGGTCGCGGTGCTGTCGTGCTGGTGGTGGTCGCGGTCGCGGTGCTATCCGGCGGTGTCCGCGGCGTTTGTCGCGCCGGCGCCAAGTCGTGGTCGTGGTCGTGGCGTTGGCGGTCGTGGCGGTTGTCGTGCTTAGGGTCGCCGTCGTGGTGCTGGTGGCGGCGGCGGTGGTTGTCGCGCTGGTGGCAGTTGTGGTCGCGGCGGCGGTGGCGGTCGTGGCGGTTGCCGCGCCGGCGGCGGTTCAGCTGGCGGTGGCCGTGCCAAGGGGCCACCGGCCTAGCGCCCGAGCGCGCTCAGCAGCATCTCGGCCACTTTTGGAGGGTTCTGCTGATCTGCCGCCAGAGGCCGCCCAGCAGCTTGGAGCGGTCGCCGTCGTCGAGGCCGACTCCGCAGCTGCGGACGACGCTGGCTGCTGCGTCGCTGGGCCGGCCCCCCGTCTCGAAGACAAGGGGGGCCAGCTCGCCCCCGTGCGGGGGGCGCCGCTCCCGCTTCTGGTCCGCCGCCTGGACGGCCGCCAAAACAATCCTTGTCGGCCCGGGCACCCCTGCGCGGAGCGCAGGTTGAGTGTGCGCAGGCGATGCCCCAGTCGACGTAGACGCGGCGCCCGTTGGCTGGTTCGTTGGTGGAGAGAGCCAGAAACGCTTGCTGGAGCACTCCCGTGCCGGGGCGTCGGCGACCCCAGGCGGGAGCGGATTGCTCCGCTGGCGCGGCGAAGCCGGCGAGCTCGGCGCGCTTCGCAGAGCGCCAGTCGCGGCAGCTGTTGTGGCGTGTGTTGCGGGACTCACCCACCTAGCACTTGACTGCGTGCCCGCCATGCGGGTCCAGGAGCTCGTTGCACAGGCCGCCGCCCTGGCGGCGGCGCTGGCACCGTGAGCCAGGCGGGCAGACCGGGATGCAGAGGCGGCGCTTCAGGTTGCCGCAGAAATGCGGGTCGGGCTGGCGGGGGTCGTCTGGCTGGCGCGGGAGGAGCCAGCTGCCGGCGCCCGTGCCTCCGTTCTCCCGCAAGCGGAGGCGGTGGTCCTCGAGCGCCCGCAGCAGCCTCTCCCCGTTGGCCGCGGAGGCCGTCTTGCCCCAGCGGTTCTGCAGCATGGGCCGTGGTTCTGCCGCGCAGCCCATCCAATCGAAAGGCGCCTGGAGGGCGACTGCTGCCCGGAGAGCTGCTTCCACCTGGTCGCGCGTCCGCTGTGTCCGCGGGCAACGGGCTCGGAATTTCTCTAGCGAGCTGGCTCCGAGGCAGGCCATCACGTCGTGAAGGAGAAGGGCCCAGCTAGCAGCGTAGGCAACAGGCGCCGTCTTTCAGCACCACCGCGAATCAGACGTTGATGTAGCATAAAAGCAAGAATTGTATACCCAACTTGCACTGGCAGGGCTCCATCTCCTGTCTCAAACAACAGGACTACGTTCGCACGCCTCCAACCAAGAATCAGGGAGTGATTCCTGATCCCAACATGTCCGACATAACTGGAACATGATGGCACAGGCGTCACGGTGCGAACCCAACATCTTCCAGAATGCTGGGGGGATACCGTCTGGCCCGGCAACTTTCCCAATGCGTAGCCGGCGCAGCGCATCGGTCAACTCTCCCATGGCAAATGTATCCGTGTCGATCGGCAGCGATTGTCCTATGGATGCACGCGCTTGTGGGCTGAGCTCTGGAAACCGGACTTGCCATTGCACGTCTTCACCATAGTCTGCCATCACATCTCGCCGTTCAGCTGTGTCTGCGAGTGTTCCATCAAGCCGCTTGACCGTCGCATGCTTTGTAATAGGTATCCTCCAATGGCGAACCGCTTCCCAATCACCATTTCCCAGGACCATCGATAACATATCTGGGGCGAGACTTCCCCCACAGGAGGGGGTCTGGACCTCTGAGGCCGCGCATTGGAGAAACACATCGTCAGATGTCTGGGCATGTCGTCGGCGGCGTCGGCGCTGGCGGTTTCGTTGTGGTCATCGTCGCCGTCGGCATCGTTGTACACAACATGGCATTCGTTGACTATTCCCCTACCTCAGGAGCTCGCCCACAAGACCCCTTGCACACAAAAACCAACCCTGAGACCCCAGGACGTCTGGTCTGCTGATTGTTGGTGTGGGAACGTCACGCTTTCCACAGCAAAACCATCGAAACCCAAGAAACCCAGGGCACCTTGGAGGCAATCAGGGCGTTTCTTGGCATAGGCTTCCACTGTACTCTTCCTCCACCTGGCAAGCCTGTCGGGCTCAGCTGGTAGAGCTCATGGCTCTGGACATTCGTGGACTCTTGTACATTCCCCTCGTCTCCCCTCCAGCCTCCCCCTGCTCCCCTCGCGTATTCCCTGTGACTCCTTTGCGTGCTCCCCTCGTCTCCCCTCGCCCGGAGGAGGGCCAGTTGAGACCACGGCGGCCCAGCCCAGACATCATCTCAAAAGATCTGTCCTCGGTCCCCGCTCGGGGTCCACCGTGACCCGTTACTGCTCGAGAGACAGGTGCAGCCTCGAAGGAGGCCCGAGGAGGGAGAGAGAGAGAGAGAGAGCACCCAGGGAGGGCCGCCGCCGTCTCGGCTGACACTCCTCCCTCCCCCTCCCCTCCTCCCCACCCCTCCTCCCCACCATCCCCCCCATCGGCTGGCTCGTCCTCACCATCCCCCCTCCCCACCTCTGCCGCAATGGACTTGCCGCCATCTTGAGGCGGAGGAGGAGGAGGAGGAGGAGGAGGAGGAGGAGGAGGAGAAGAGAGGAAGAGGAGGAAGAGGAGGAAGAGGAGGAGGAGGAGGAGGAGGAGGAGGAGGAGGAGGAGGAGGGAGGAGGAGGGAGGAGGAGGAGGAGGAGGAGGAGGAGGAGGAGGAGGAGGAGGAGCGAGGAGGAACGGGAAGGAGGCCATGATCTCGGATCACGTCCTCCATCCTCCACGCATCACGTGTGGAGGACGGGGCGGAGAACGTCGAGGGCCGAGGAAAAGGAGGCGGTGGAGGACCACCTCCCCGCCAGTCCTTGCTGGCCGCGCCGAGCTCTCGCCGCAGAAGGGAGATCTCCTGGGGGCGGCCCGGCAGGCAGCCGCCACCCGAAGAAAGCGCAGCCGCGCCGTCCGCACGCGCGCGCGTGCACACGCTGGCAGGCACGCAGCGAATACGAGCGGCGGCAGTGTCCATATCTGCGCCCTCGCGTTCTGGACGCGGGGGCATCGGCGAACAAAAACGCCCCGCGTCCACGGGGTCGCGGCCCAGGGGTCCAGCCCGCGAGACCGCGGGTGCGAATATGTCTACCGCCCACGACGCGACACACGCGCGCGCGTTCCCCCCCACCGAGCGGGCGCGCGCACGGGATGGGCCCGTGCGCCCGAGCCGAGACGTCGGCCCACGACGCGACCGACCCACTGCTCGCACTCGCGGCCACCGAACCGCTGGCGATGCGGGGAGAGGAGGTAGGACGAAAACAGCGTCATGAGACGATTGACTCAGAATTCCAAAAGAAAGAGACACTGCATCAACATAACATTGGGCGCCCGAGTTATCCGGGGTAACTCGGGTCCGGGGTAAGTCGGGTTTGGATTCCCGAAAAAGGAACCCGAGTTATCCCTGACCCGAGTTACCCCTGATGATTCGGGGCTCTGGACGCCAGAGTTATCCGGGGTAACTCGGGTCCGGGGTAACTCGGGTTTGGATTCCCGAAAAACGAACCCGAGCTATCCCTGACCCGAGTTACCCCTGATGATTCGGGGCTCTGATAACATGTTGAAACTCCGCGCGGACTTTTTGGATCGGTGCTGGACCCCCCTCCCTGGCGCGAGGAGCGCGCCCAGGGCGGCGCTGCAGGCGCCGCCAAGAGGGTCGAGCGCCGATCCGTGAAATGCGCGTCAGCCTTCGAAAGTCCATCGTTATGCTGATTTCTTCTCGTCGATGCAACGTGGGGGGGCGGGGAGAATAGGAGGCCAGCAGTCGGCACGCGGCTTGGCGCGAAAGCAGGCCGCTCCTTCCGCGACTCAGCGGCGTCTGCCCTCGACTCGACCAGCTGCGACCGCAGCGCCTCGAGTTCCTCGAGGGCAACGGCCCAGAGCAGAAGGAGGGGAGGGAGGGGAAGAGAAGAGGAGGCGCTGGACTAGGAGACGAGGAGGGAGACGAGGAAGGAGACGAGGTGAAGGAGGAGGAGGAGGAGGAGGAAGAGGAAGAGGAGGAGGAGGAGGCACCGCGCGTCGCTCCTCCTTGCCCGACGCAAGGCTTCCCCGTCCTCCGCCGGCCCCTGCTCCGGCGGGGCGGACGGGGCAATGGCGCGCGGGAGACCGGAACGCCCTGGGAGGCCCTGGGCCCTGGCGGAGAAAGACGGCCCCCACTCGGCCCTGACTTCGAGGTGCGGGGCGGACGGGGCAATGGCGCGCGGGAGACCGGAACGTCCTGGGAGGCCCTGGGCCCTGGCGGAGAAAAACGGCCCCCACTCGGCCCTGACTTCGAGGTGCGGGGCCCCGACACAGGCCATCGCGAAACCGCGCGGACTCCGATGGGAGGGGCGCCGCCCCCTGCGAAGAGGCATCAAGAAAGAAGCCGCGGCCCCCAGAGGCCTGTGGCAGGCGGGCCTTGCGAACGCCACCGAGCTTCATTTTTGAATGCGCCGTGGCCCCGCAGCTCACGCAACGCAGCATATCATTCCAGGTGACAGCATCAGCCCCGAACGCACCTCCCTGCTCCAAAGAGTGACCTGGCTGCTGCCACCCTCCCAGGGGAAGCGGGACAGGGAGATCCACGTAAGAATCAGGGGGACGTAAGACCTGGGTGCAGGGGACTCGGAAATCCCCGACGAGGTCGTCAAAAAAATGACGAGGCCGAGCCTGCATTTTGACGAGGCCTCCCGCTGCAGACATCCCACGAAACTCCTCCTCGTCAAAATCCGAGGCGCGGTCGTCCAAAAACGATGGCGAACCCGAGCCCTGGCAAAGCCCGGTCTTACGCTCCCCCGAAAGAAGCGGGCAACCCCGCAGCTGGGCAAAGCTGGGGCCCCTGCAGAAACGGGCATGGGGGGGCAGGGACCGCGTCCAGAGACACAAAGCCGAGCCTCTCGCGGCATACGGGATCGCTCCACGCGAGGTCGCGGCACTCACACTGCTCAGCCACACAAAACCACCCGAGTCTGGCGGCCGGCCCCCGGCATCGTTTGAGTATTACACGGCCGCTCGAAGCCAAAACGAAGGGTTGCCTTCCTTGTTTGGCCAGGTGGCCCGCCTTCGAATTCCCGAACCTCTGAAAATCAGTTGTCTGCCCTCCCGGTTGTGAACCGCGGACGTGTGGGCGGGAATCCAGACGATTATCTCCGCGCCCTCCAGACGGTCTCCAACATTGGCCGACACATGGACCCTAGCCGATCTGGTCGCAGCTTCTTAGGGTTACGAAGTCAGCCTAAGGTGCCGGCGCGGTCGACAGAGATGGTCACCCCGGGGCCGAGGACCGCACGCCCCGAATTGCAAAATTGTCAGCGTCGCGGGCCGGCTGTTCGGGCCCCTCCGCGCGCGGAACAGCGCCAAGGAAGACGACCGGGTCCTTGCTATGCGGCGCAGGACGACCGGCTGACTGCCCCGCTGTTCCCAATCCTGGAAGGTCTCCCTCAAGCCCCGAACCGCCCGTGAAATTGCGACACCCCTCCGGCGCGAACAAGGGCCCCCGTCCTGCGGCCGCTGGAATCCCACCAGCCCTTTGGGCGTGAGTGGTTTAGAGAGCCCGCTCTGTCCTCAACCCCCCTTCTTCCCCTTCGGGGAGAGGTTTACCCCTCCCCCTACCCCCTCCCCCTGGGCCTGGAGAGGGGGTCCGGCGGGTCGTCAGGGGGGTCAATTTCGACTCCTGGGAGGGCTAAAAGACGACGACCCTCACGAGGATTCTGGCCCCGACGGGGGGGCTGAGATAAGTCCCTCTCCTCTTCTGTGAAGCCAAAAACATTGATTTTACTAGGGTTTTGGCCCCATTTTGGCCTTCTGAGGGGGCAGCGCTCCTCGTCCTTCATAGCAAAATCATTGATTTTACGAAGGTTTTGGGCTCATTTTGTCCTTCTCAGGGGGCAGCTCTCATTTGCGCTTCTGAGGAGGTCGCAAGAGGCACCAAGATGGCCCCAAGAGGCCCCCAGGAGGCTCCCAAGCGGCCAAGAGGACCCCACCCAAGAGCCCCCAGCCCCCAGGCCACAAGAGGCCTCCCAAGAGGCCCCAGAGGCCCCAAGAGGCAAGAGGCCCCCAAGAGGCCCTAGAGGCCACCAAAGACGACCCCACGAGCCCGAACGACTCACACCAGGAAGGGCCGAACGACTCACACCACAAGAGGTGCCCGAACGACTCACACCAGGACGAGGCGCCCGAACGACTCACACCACGAGGAGCCCGAAGGACTCACACCACGACGCGGGCCCCGAACGACTCACACTACTACTACTTCTACCTCTACTATTACTACTTCTACGCATGGTGCTACGGCCACTACTACTACCAGACTACGACTACGACTACGACTACGACTACTACGACTACGACTACTACTACGACTACTACTACTACTACTACTACTACTACTACTACTACTACTAACTACTACCACTACTACTACTACTACTACTACTACTACTACTACTACTACTACTACTACTACTGACTACTCGACGACTACTACTACTACTACTACTACTACTACTACTACTACTACTACTACTACTACTACTACTACTACTACTACTACTACTACTACTAACTACTACTACTACTACTACTACTACTACTACTACTACTAGTACTACTACTACTACTACTACTACTACTACTACTACTACTACTACTACTACTACTACTACTACTACTACTACTACTACTACTACTACTACTATTTCTTCCTCTTCCGCGAAGAAAGAATCATCGATTGTACTACGGTTTCCGCCCCCTTTGGCCCTTCTCAGGGGGCTGCGCTCATGAAAGATCCTCTCTTTCTTCAACGCCCAATCATTGATTCTCCGAAGGGTTGGGCCTCATTTTGCCCTTCTGGGGGGGCAGCGCTGATTGAAGCTCCCCTCTTCTTTGCTCCCTTCCCTCCAAGATGGCCCCAAGAAGCGCCCAGAAAGTACGAAGAGGCCCCAAGATGGCCCCAAGAGGCCCCCAGGAGGGCCCCAAGATGCCCCCAAGATGTCTCCCAGCGGCCCCAAGAGGCGCCGAAGACGCCCTCAGAGGCCTCCGACCAAAAGACATCCACTACTACTTCTACTCCGACGACTACTACTACTACTACTACTACTACTACTACTACTACTACTACTACTACTACTACTACTACTACTACTACTACTACTACTACTACTACGACTACGACTACTACTACTACTACTACTACTACTACTACTACTACTACTACTAACTACTACTACTACTACTACTACTACTACTACTACTACTACTACTACTACTACTACTACTACTACTACTACTACTACTACTACTACTACTACTACTACTACTACTACTACTACTACTACTACTACTACTACTACTACTACTACTACTACTACTACTACTACTACTACTACTACTACTACTACTACTACTACTACTACTACTACTACTACTACTACTACTACTACTACTACTACTACTACACCACCACCACTTCTCCTACTGGTACTACTATGCGTTCAGAGGGACACCTGCCCATCCGTGGCGAGTTACGCTCACTGCACAACTGGTCGGGGGAGAACGCTGGATCGTCGTCGTCGTCGTCGCCTGCATCGTCGTCCCCGACGTCGTCGTTGTCATCGTAATCGTCGTCGTCGTCGCCGTCGTCGTGGTCGTCGCCGTCATCGTCTGAGGCGTCGCCGTCATTTGAGTCGTCTGACTCGTTCACGTGTGTGAAACGACGACGACCGCCCTCTGTCTTCCCTCCCAACACCTTCTCTCCCTCCTCCTCCTCGGACTCGTCCTCCTCCCGCTCCCCCCACTAGGTGGATGTACAAGGCGGCAGGAGGACATAGGAACAGGGTATATATGCGAGAGCAGGCAGAAATACGCCTGAAAAACACGACTGTCGGCATGCTTCGCTGGAGTTGCTGTTTGGGGATGGGCTGGTGGGGATACGCGAAGCGTGAAGAATTTCCGAGGGCGCGGGCCCGAGGGGCCCTCGGGAGGGCAGTTGGCCCGGGGGGCGCAGGCTTCGGGAGCGCGCGCCTGCAAAATGGCTCGCCAGCTAAGAGGTCGAGAGATGGCAAGCTCGCTCAGCCGCCCTGGCCACCGGCGGGCCCAGGTTCTAGGCTCTAGGGGCGCCGCGCACTGAGCCAAAGAGACCTGAAACCGGCGGTGGAAGATCGTACCTTTCTAGGGGGAAAACAAACCTCCCTCGCTTTTGACCACCCTCGCTTCCAAGAGATACCAAACGATGCCAAATTGCAGCCTGTACTGATCAGGCCGCTTGACGAGGAGGCGCGTGGTATGGCTTGGTTTTGCCTGGAAGCGAAAGCGGGGTAGGTAATTCACGCTCTGAGTTCTCCTCTCCGAAAAACCAAGCATTCCTCAGTCGCCTCTGGGCTGCGCCCGAAAATGCGCGCGACCAAGAAGCGGCGGCAACTTGCGCTGAGGAGGCAACCCTGTGAGATCGAATCCGCATCGCGGGTTCTGCGACCGAGAACAGCTGGTGGATCGGGCCCCGAAAGGGAGGACAATCCAACTTTCGAAAGTCAAACTGACTGCCCCGCCTTCTCCTTTCGCCCGCCCCGCGCACGGTGCCCCGGGCGAGGGCCACAGGAAGCTTTGGCGAGACACGCCAAGCAGGACAAAGCCTCCCCAGGTCATCCTGGGTCTAAAGACTGCCCAGGCCAGAGGCCCAGCGGATCCTGGCCAACATCAGGGGGGCGGCGATTGCCCGTCGCACCCAGCCCCGCGGGTGCCCCCCCCCCCGGCCCCGAACGCACCCCGGGCGCGAGGCCGAAGAACAGGTTCAGGAACGGGAAGGGCTGGCCCAAATCACGCGAACAAGTTTTGCAACAGCCAAACTCAACGCCAGAGCCGCAAGCGGGCCACGGACCCACACACT